GCGTTTGCTAAGACAGCGCAGGCGAAGACCTGGAATGGGGTCTTCCGTCTTGCCTCGTCAGGCTCGGAGCCATATATAGCGTGCCTCAAAGCAGCGGAATCTCTTGCACGGGCAAAATGCCATGAGGGTGCATGTTTTTTTCAGGGGTGGTGCAAAAAATGAAGGCCGCGATATTGCAAGGACTCCTTTGCACGGGACACTGGGGATCTTACGGGGGACGTCGCTTAGTGGTGGAGGGTCTGCTTCACTGCCAGAAGGTCCCAGGCCCTGAATTGAATCCTGCCTGAAATGCTGGAGAGATGCTGCCAGCCAGTGTGGACAACATGGAGCTACTGCCCACCCTAGCAACATGGGTTCTTAATTCTTATTTATTTAGACCCTTTAGTAGCCCGTTTCCCCTCCTCTGACTAAGGAAGGACCCAAAGCAGCTTAACAAGAGCAGAAATGACTGAAAAACAAATGCAGAAAATAACGCAAGCAGCAATTAAAAATAATAAAAGCTGGGGAGAGCCTTGGGAAATAAACCTTTTTAAGGTGATTGGTGGATGGAGTATAAGGATATGACAAGAATTTGTTTGTTTTTCTGTTTGTGTTCTTTATTTGTGTTATAAAATTAATAAATTTTTTTTTGGGGGGGGGGGGAAAGAAGATAATGTCAAGGTTGCAGGTTCAATCCCTGTAAGGAACAATGGCCTATTTCTGCATTGCAAAGGGTTGGTCTAGATGGTACCATACTCTACAATTCTAGAACTATTCTATGAACTATTGCAGCCAGTAGAGTGTGGATTTGCCCACTCTGTCCGGACCAGCAGATTCACTTGCCCACCCAGAATTTGCTCCTGAGGAGCAAGGTCTTTCGTTTCAGCCTGACCTCAGGCTCCTATTGCACACTGGCGGGTCACCGCGACCCTCTCTTGCTATTAAATCTGGCTCGTTTTTGTAATAGTGCGCTGGCAAGGGACACTGGCATTCCCCCCAGATAGCTTTAATAACTCTCTTTCTCCCTCTCTACGCTATCTGGTCATGATCAGCTCAGGATCTTTCTCCCCGAAGCATTGAAAAAGCAAGCGGATTGTGCAATTAAAAAAGAGAAGAAGATAATAAAGCGTCCCCTAGTCGCGTGCCAACGCAGCTCAGCTGCAAAACTGTCAACTGCAGAATCAAGTCAGACTGAGGGAGGGGAAAGGAGGGAGGAATAAACTCCAAAGAGGCAGTAGAGGGAGTGTGTGTGTGTGTGTCTGCGTGCTCAGATCAGGGTCGGATTATGCAATGATTTTTTTTTGAGGAAGGCAGCTGCCAAGGAGGAGATGCCAAAAACCTACTCGCTCGGCTTTGGCCGATTATTTTGCTGTCGTTCCGAAGAAGCTCAGAAGGCAGCTCGGGGCTTATTTCTGTAATGAACTTTCAGCCGTTTATTTATCTTTCTTTTTCTCTGGAGGCAACAACCCAGAGGCGAGGCTTCTCTGCCCGACCCTTTCCTCCCAGGCCACAGATCACACCAGCCTCGCTTTGCACCTTCCTTGATTCTGTTTGGCAGACTGAAATCCGTCCTTGAAGCCAGATCTCGCCTCTTGCCTTCCTGGATACAGAGGGTGTGTGTGTGTGTGTGTGTGTCTGTGTTTGAGTGTGTTTAGAAATTAGAATACTATACAAAGGTAACATTTGCATTCGTCGCTCCGTCCGCTTTTCCCTGCAGCACGTGGCCCCCAGGAGATTTCTTCAAAAGGAATTCGGCCCTCAGGCTCCCAAGCTTCCCTTCCCTCGTTATGCAACGAAGAACATTCGTCCTTATAGCCTTTTATTGCAGTGTTACAACATCCCATTGATCATCTGTTCATGTTCATTGCATTTCCCCTTTACTTAAAGGTAAAGGGACCCCTGACCATTAGGTCCAGTCGTGGCCGACTCTGGGGTTGCGGCGCTCATCTCGCTTTATTGGCCGAGGGAGCTGGCGTACAGCTTCCGGGTCATGTGGCCAGCATGACTAAGCCGCTTCTGGCGAACCAGAGCAGCGCACGGAAACGCCGTTGACCTTCCCGCTGGAGCGGTACCTATTTATCTACTTGCACTTTGTGCTGTTGAACTGCCAGGTTGGCAGGAGCAGGGACCGAGCAATGGGAGCTCACCCCGTTGCGGGGATTCGAACTGCTGACCTTCTGATCGGCAAGCCCTAGGTTCTGTGGTTTAACCCACAGCGCCACCTGTGTCTCTCAGCCTCACCCGCAACACCCGCGTCCCTTTACTTGCCTAACTGCAAACCCCCTTTTCTATTGTTGGTCAGTGAGTTGTTGTTTTGCACTGGAACGCTTTAATCTACCCTAACTGTGCAGTCCCAGATTTGTGGTGGGGACGGGGACTGAATCCCTCATGCAAAATACTGTCAGTCTACAGGCGGCCGATGACGCCTCAACCTCTTTCTCCAGCTGCTTCCCCCTACCTGTCTGCAATCGAAACCCTAGAGAGCGTCTTTCTTTTGAGCAGATTTACGGCTCTGCATCAAAGAACTTTTTCATCCCAGAACGGCTTCTCTCTACCAGTTGCAAGTTGCAACCAAGAGCTTCTTCAATGTGACTTTAAAGTTTTGGAGGTGATGCTTCACCCCCGGCAATAATTTATTATTATTTTTAAAGCCCACTGGAGTGTGTGCCTTAACTCATCCTAATGAGGTCTCTTAATGAAGGAAACGAGTCGCTGTTTTTAATGGGCTGTAATTACCTTGGAGAAGGTGTGCAAGGATCTTCTGAGTGACAGCTGACAGGATCCCTCTGTGTGACGGTCAGTGGTGCGGCTGTGTGTGTGTGTTGTTGCTTTTTGCTAACTTCAGGTGTGATTCTCTCTCCCCTTGCTTTCCCCCTGGGAAATCTGGGTCCGTTGAAGATAAGATGGGGGTGGGGACCCTGCAGCCAGCAGACCTAATTTGGCTGACCCCCAATTTATTTATTTACTGAATTTCTCTACAGTTTCCAAGACTCTCTGCAAGAGGTGATGTGGTTTAAGCACATAATAATAATAATTTATTATTTATACCCCACCCATCTGGCTGGGTTTCCTTAGCCACTCTGTGCTGCTTCCAGCAAAATATTAAAAGCTTCCCTAAACAGGGCTGCCTTAAGATGTCTTCTGAATGTCAGGTAGTTGTTTATCTCTTTGACATCTGGTGGGAGGGCATTTTACAGGGTGGGTGCCACCACCGAGAAGGCCCTCTGCCTAGTTCCCTGTAACTTCACTTCTCGCAGGGAGGGAACAGCCAGAAGGCCCTCGGTGCTAGACCTCAGTGTCCGGGCTGAACAATGGGTGTGGAGACGCTTCTTCAGGTATACTGGGTCGAGGCCGTTTAGGGTTTTAAAGGTCAGTACCGACACTTTGAATTGTGCCCGGAAACGTACTGGGAGCCAATGTAGGTCTTTCAAGACCGGTGTTATGTGGTCTTGGTGGCCACTCCCAGTCACCAAATGTATGGTGTGTTCACAGCTGTGGTCATTGTGGCTAGTACCCATTGATAGCGTGGTATAGTGGACTACAGTGTCAGGCTGGGACCCGGGAGACCAGGGTTCAAACCCCCACAAAGCACCCTGGGTGACCTTTGACCAGTCACAGTATCTCAGCCTCACCCGCCTTGCAGGGTCATTGTGAAGATGAAATGGAGTGGACAGGGTAGAAGGATGTTCACCACTTTGAGCTGAGTGGTTTGTGGGGACCTGTACCTGTCAGGAGGCAAGAAACAGAGGAAGGGGAAGCTTCAGAGCTGGAGGAAGAGGCAGGTCAGGCAAGACAAGGGCCAGGGGCTTCCCCTCCCTCCACTGTACCACTGTCCCCCAGAACCAGGAGGGGATTGAAGAGGGATGAGCAGAGGATGTTTCCATGCAGGCGTAGTCTCCGGCTGCAATTACGCAGCCTGTTGGTGGAAGGTACATGAACTGGTGGAGTGATCCCCTGCTGCTGCAATTTCTCCAGACCTGGGAATAGCTGCCTAGACCCTAGATTGGTGGGGTTACTGAGGAAATGTCCATAGAACAGGCATGGCCAAACTTGGTCCTCCAGATGTTTTGGGACTACAATTCCCATCATCCCTGACCACTGGTCCTGTTAGCTAGGGATCATGGGAGCTGTAGTCCCAAAGCATCTGGAGAGCAAAGTTTGGCCATGCCTGCCATAGAGCTACTTGATAATGATTTGCAGATGGTATTTAACTCCGAGCAGACTTGCTAAGATGTATAAGACTGAATCAGATAAGTGCTGGAGATGTAATGAGACTGAGGATACGTTTGTCCATATGTGGTGGTCCTGTAAAAGGGTAAAAGAGTACTGGGAAATAATTTATAATGAATTGAAAAAATGTTTTAAAGCACCTTTCAAAAAACAAACACCCAACATCCTTTTTGTTGGGGATTATTCAGATGGGAATTCCCAAGTGTCAAAAAAGGTTATTTATGTACACCACGGCCCATGTTTCGTTAGCCCAAAAATGGAAAACGAGCGAGGTGGAATATGTGCAGCTTGTGGATCTAACTTATATAATAAGAGAACAAGACGAACATACGTTTGAAGAAGATTGGAAAATGTTTATTGAATATATGGGCAATAATTTTGTATACCTGTTGGCAGCCTTAAGATAAATTCAACAGTGTAAATAAGTTTTGATGGAAGTAACAATGGAATACTGAATGGTTTAGTATGCAGGGATTTATGCTGTGCAAAATGAACCATGGAAAGAGAAGAAGGGAAGTCATTGATATTTTAAGGTTGTCTGAATGAATATTCTAAATTGTAAAACAGAAAAGAGAGAGAGAGAGAGAGAGAGAGAGAGAGAGAGGAAATGTCGGTTTGCCTTAATAAGCAAGCCTGCTTCGTTCCTGGTTGTATTTCAGATATCTTGGTGGGAACGTAAGGATGGAAGCCACCTGAGCTGTCTTGGGCTCCATCCATTCCAAGGGGAAGAAGAAGGTGGAGTCCCACCACTACCTGGCTCTTCTTAACCTTCTTCTCATTTCTTCCCACAGCTGATAGTCGAAAAGACAACTGACTACCCGGCCGCCGAATACTCTTTGGTGGAGGATGTAGCCCTCCACTTCACGTGTTTGATGGACAGACTGAACGAGCAGCGCCTCTTTCAACCGGACCTGTGCGACGTGGACATCGTCCTGCTGCAGCAGAGGAACGTCTTCCCGGCTCACAAGGGGGTCCTCGCCGCCTACAGCCACTTCTTCCACTCTCTCTTCACCCAGAACAAGCAGCTGCAGCGGGTGGAGCTCTCCCTGGAGGCCTTGACCTCCCAGGGCCTCCAGCAGATCCTCAACTTCATCTACACCTCCAAGCTCCTGGTCAATGCCTGCAACGTGCAGGACGTCCTGAACGCGGCCGCCGTCCTGCAGATGAGCGACATTGCGTCCTCCTGCCAGGAGCTGATCAGCACCAGGTCCCTCGGCTTAGCCATGGCCAGCAATATGGCGCTGCCTCCGGACAGCTGTGCCAAAGGCGTCCCGTCTCAGTACTACTGCAACATCAAGCAGGAGATGGACCCAGCGCCGCACCCCAAGATCTACGCTCGGGAAGGGAACGACCCCTACTCTGTGCGGGTTGAGGACGGCGTGGCATGCGGGGGCAACCAGAACCTGCCTGCCGTGGCTGGCAAGAAGTATTACAAGGAGGAGAAAGATGGCAGCCCGCCCGTCTGCAAGGTGGAGGGCGAAGAGCCCGATGTGGCCCTGGGCAGCCAAAGCTCTTACAACCGGGGAGAGCAGATCATTGTGGAGGTCAACCTCAACAATCAAACCCTCAACGTCTCGAAAGGGACGGAGGGGAAGTCTCCGGCCGCTGACCAGACGGCCGGCATCGCTGCGGTGATTGGGCGGCCCGAAGGGGAAGGGCGTGGCGCAGACGAGGATGGCGAGGAGGAAGAGAACGGGGAAGGAGAGGAGGAAGAGGATGACGGCGAGGTGGGGGAGGAGGAGGAAGAGGAGGAGCACAGCGAGGAGGAAGAGCTGGAGGAGACCACCGAGGAGGAGGACGAGGAGGAGGAGGAGGAAGACGGCGAGGAGGTGGCGGACATCAAGAGGGAGAGGTCCGGGCTGCCCCACAAAGCCAGCAGGCCCTCCAAGGCCACCCAGGCCGCTGCCTCCACCAGGTCCCAGGAGGCGGTTGCTGTGACGATGGAAGACGAGGGTGGAGGAAGCGGAGGAGGAAGGGGAGGACCAGAGAGGAAGGAAGAGGAAGAAGGAGCCGGACGGGGTGGGCCAGAAGGTGAAGTTGGAGGAGAAGCAGCATTACCCCTGCAAGAAGTGCCCCCGGGTTTTCAACAACCGCTGGTACCTGGAGAAGCACATGAACGTCACCCACAGCCGCATGCAGATCTGCGACAAGTGTGGCAAGCGGTTCCTGCTGGAGAGTGAGCTGCTGCTGCACCACCAGACGGACTGCGAGAAGAACATCCAGGTGAGGAGGGAGACCACTGCCCCTCAAGGCGCCACATTGCAGCCAGGCCGCCCTTCGCAGGCTTTGGCGCACGGGGCGCCCTCTGTGAAACTAGAACGGACAGGAGTCGTGACGTAGGATGCTGCCTTATGCTGAGACAGACCCACTGACTGGGCTCAGCCGTCCTGGATTTCAGGCAGGGGAGTATGCCATCCCTGGAGATAATAATAATAATAATAATAATAATAATAATAATAATAATAATAATAATATGATCACACAGGAAAAAGCAAAAACAAACAAAACACGCAACAAAGACAATAAACTAAACACAAAATGTGGAAAATCAATAAAAAATTGAAATAATAATAATAATAATAATAATAATAATAATAATAATAATAATTTATTATTTATGTATACATACATACGTACGTACATATCCCGCCCATCTGACTGAGTCGCCCCAGCCACTCTGGGCAGCTTCCGATGCCTATAAAAACATACTAAAACATCAAGCATCAATAGTAACAATCTGATCCAATATATTACAAAAAATCATAATACAGTGGTACCTCGGGTTATAGACGCTTCAGGCTACGCTCGGCTAACCTAGAAACAGTACCTCGGGTTAAGAACTTTGCTTCAGGATGAGAACAGAAATCGTGCGGCGGCAGCGGGAGGCCCCATTAGCTAAAGTGGTGCTTCAGGTTAAGAACAGTTTCAGGTTAAGAACGGACCTCCAGAACGAATTAAGTTCTTAACCCGAGGTACCACTGTAACTTTAAAACAAACAAGTTTTATCAAATGAAGTAATATTCAACAAACCATCCAAAAAAATTCAAATCAAACAGTTTGTTGTTGACAAAGGACAGCTGGAGATATAAAGGGCCCCATTTCCTTCAGTAGCTTAGGTAAAGGTAAAGGGACCCCTGACCATTAGGTCCAGTTGTGACCGACTCTGGGGTTGCGGCGCTCATCTCGCTTTATTGGCCGAGGGAGGCGGCGTCCAGCTTCCGGGTCATGTGGCCAGCATGACTAAGCCGCTTCTGGCAAACCAGAGCAGTGCACGGAAACGCCGTTTACCTTCCCGCCGGAGCGGTACCTATTTATCTACTTGCACTTTGATGTGCTTTCGAACTGCTAGGTTGGCAGGAGCAGGGACCGAGCAATGGGAGCTCACCCCGTTGCGGGGATTCGAACCGCCGACCTTCTGATCGGCAAGTCCTAGGCGGGCCTCATCAAACCTGCCTTGTAGATTATCCTCATGGTCCTTTCAAACTCTACGAATTGCACATACGTTTTTGCTAGGCTCAGGTCCTCCTGACTCTCCCCATCTCCTTTGCAGTGCATCACTTGCGGGAAAGCCTTCAAGAAGCTGTGGTCTCTCCATGAGCACAACAAGATCGTCCACGGCTACGCGGAGAAGAAGTTCTCCTGCGAGATTTGCGAGAAGAAGTTCTACACGATGGCGCATGTCCGGAAGCACATGGTCGGTGAGTGGGGAGGGGGCCCCGTGCGCAGCAGTAGGTTTGCGACCCCCTGAGGAGCACCCAGCACCAGGCGGCGTTTCAGCGCTGTGCAGATGACCCACCTTCTCGGGCGCAAATCAGGGTTCTAGGCTTTGCCCCACGAACCCTTTCCAAGCCTGTCTTCATCTTACTTTCTAACTATTTCACGTAACCCCTTTTCAAGTGTTTGCTTTTATCGGTGCCTTTAAAAGAACGCTTCAGTCCAGACCAGCAGTTCTCGACCTGTGGGTCCCCAGATGTTGTTGGACTACAAGTCCCATCATCCCTGAGCTCTGGCCTTGCTAGCTAGGGGTGCTGGGAGTTGTAGTCCAACAACATCTGGGGACCCACAGGTTGAGAAAGCCTGGTCCAGACACACTCACAAACACCCAACCTGGTGGCCTGCAGATGTTTTTGGACTACACATCATCCCTAGCTAGCAAGACCAGTGGTCAGGGATGATGGGAGTTGTAGTCTGAAAAAAGAGATGGAGACCAAAGGTTGGGAAAAACTGGTTTGGATTATCTTTGGTGAAACACTTTAGGGGTCTTTTGTGAGTTGCGCAGTCGGAATTGCACCATGCTGCTCCTGCTGAGCTGTACCACTCCAGATTGCAGAAAGGAGAGAGAGAGAGGCCACGCTTTACTTGTCTATCCACCATATTTACTCGAATCTAATACTCACCATTTTTTGGCCAAATTACGTTGCAAAAGTTTAGGCGCACATTAGATTCGATGGGACATTTACATTCACCAGTGAATACTTTTTTTTGTTTCCAGGTTCTGAAAATGGAGGTGTACATTAGATTTGATGGTTTATTAGATTCTAGTAAATATGGTTTCCCCTACAGATAGAAAGCTACTTCTAGTCTAATTTTTTTTTACTGTATTACGGCCAGTATTGTTTTCCTTTGCAGTCCTTGCTGTATTTTCAGTCATGGATCCGGTATTGCTTGTGACATTGTTAAAACCATTTTAAAAAAATATATCAAAAAAACATTTTCTTTAATAGTCAGGAAGAGCATTTCTAGTTCCAAGTGTCTAATAAGATCAGGGACTACACATTATAATTTCACTTCACCGAAGGAAAATATCTAAACATTTCTAACACAGGGTTTCCCAAACTTGGGTCTCCAGCTGTTTTTGGACTACAACTCCCACCATCCCTATCTAGCAGGGCCAGTGGTCAAGGATGATGGGAACTATAGTCCAAAAAGTTTGGGAAACATTGTACATTCTCCTCCCTGACCTGTGCGTTTTCTAAGTGCAGGTTTCGGAGGCCGTTCAGATTTTGCGGCCGCTCAGCAGCTTGCATGACCGGAGGCTGCCAGCTCTTCGTTCCGGCAGGAGCTGAATCCGTACGATTTTGCTGGCCGTGTGTTTTGGCTCATTCCTAACCGTACAGATTTCCCTGGTAACCACGGTTCTCCCTTGCTTTGCAGCCCACACCAAGGACATGCCGTTCACCTGTGAAACGTGTGGGAAGTCGTTCAAGCGAAGTATGTCTTTGAAGGTCCACTCTCTGCAGCACTCGGGGGAGAAGCCTTTCAAATGTGAGGTGAGAACCAGGTTCAGCCAGTCTTATCTTCTTCCACTTTCCAGTTTGCAGCGTGAACTTGGACCAATGGATCTGTATTCAAGTCCTCTTCTTCTGCAGCCCGTAGCCATCCTGCTTCCACGCAGAAAGGTTGAGTGTTTGAAACTGGGCTGGCTGCATATTCTTTCTTTTTTCTTCTTTTTTCTTTCTTTCTTTTTCTTTTTTTTAATTCAAAATTATAACAAGACATACTATGCAAAAACATATCATCCTTATTCCCCCCCATTTTTCCTCCCTCCCTCCCTCCCCACAAAACCCACCCACCCCCACTCCCCAACTTCCCTCAGTTCCAGTCTTTGATTTCTCTAAAAATTCTGTTTTCTGCATGTTACAAAGTTGTATAGATCCTCAAACTATTTAGCTGATTATTATCAATAAAAAGTTTGTGAATGTTTATTCAAAACCTGCCGAGGTATCCAGTTCGCTTTGTTGCGTCTTCAGATACTTTGTAAAGGGTTCCCATTCATCCTTAAAGTCACAGTTATCCTTGTCCCGTAGCCTATATGTCAGTTTTGCCAGTTCTGCATAGCCCGTCAATTTTTCTTGCCATGATTCTTTAGTTGGGGTTTCTTCAGTCTTCCATGCTTGTGCTACCAGAACTCTCGCGGCCGTTGTCGCATACATGAAGATGTTTTTCAACTTTTTTGGCAGGTCTTTCCCTATAATCCCCAACAAAAATGCCTCGGGTTTTTAAACAAATGTTAAATGGAATATTTTCTTCAATTCATTGTATATCATTTCCCAAATTTTTTTAATTACCTTACAGTCCCACCACATATGATAAAATGTCCCTTCCTTTTCCTTACACTTCCAACATATATTTGAACTAGTTTTGTACATTTTCCCTCGGGCTGGCTGCATTTTCTTAGTTCAGGCTTCCTCAACTTCAGCCCTCCCGATGTTTTTGGCCTACAACTCCCATGATCCCTAGCTAGCAAGATCAGTGGTTAGGGATGATGGGAATTGTCTCAAAACATCTGGAGGGTTGAGGTTGAGGAAGCCTGCTCCAGACGTTTTGAGACTACAATTCCCATCTGAGGAATTCCCACTGAGGTCCAGCTCCGAGGACCTTCTGGCGGTTCCCTCCCTGCGAGAAACCAAGTTACAGGGAACCAGGCAGAGGGCCTTCTCGGTGGTGGCACCCACCCTGTGGAAATCCCTCCCATCAGATGTCAAAGCGAACAACAACTGCCAGACTTTTAGAAGACATCTGAAGGCAGCCCTGTTTAGAGAAGCTTTTAATGTTTGATGCATTACTGTATTTTAATATTTTGTTGGAAGCCGCCCAGAGTGGCTGGGGAAGCCCAGCCAGATGGCCGGGGTATAAATAAGAAATTATTATTATTATTATACATTATTATTATTGAGGAAGCCTGGAGTAACACTTGTTCTGTTTTGGTTTATAAAAGTGCAGGATGTTTTCACTTGCTGGTAATTGCAGTTTTATTGCAACAGAGCTCATTATTTGAACTGGGCTTTCTAAACACAGTTAAAAAAAACATTCTGTTATGCACAGTGTTATTTTTAAAGTATATATTTACAGTTGTGTTCATATTCTATGGCAGGTTTGAGGAACCCTACCTTGCAGGGTTGTTTTGTGGGTAAGATGCCGTGGGAAGGATAGGAGCATAATACGTCGTTTTTGAGCCCCTGGGAGGAAAGGCAGGATATAAATAAAACTGCTGAATGAAATGGACCTTTTGGTTTAATACAACAGAGACCTTTCCTTCATGCGAACTTCCTGCCTTTCCTTATTCCATTCCTCCATTCTCTCCCTTGTCCAGAACTGCAACGAGAGGTTCCAGTACAAGTACCAACTCCGTTCTCACATGAGCATCCACATCGGTCACAAGCAGTTCATGTGCCAGTGGTGCGGGAAGGACTTCAACATGAAGCAGTACTTTGACGAGCACATGAAAACACACACAGGTAAGGGATCCATGGCTCGGGGTGGACAAGCCAGCCAAGTTCCCGCTTCTTGCCTTCCCAATCTTTTAAGTCCAGCCCCATTTCCACAGCTGCGCACAGTACTGACTGGCCAGTGCCTGTAACGTCACAAACCCACCTCTTCTGTCCTGTCCCATATTATGAGCGGTTTCGCAAAACTTCTCTTTAAAATTCCGAATCCTTTCTTGTTCCAACAGGTTTGGGGGAAATGGACTGCTTATAATTAAAGGGCTGGTGCTGTGCTGTTTTTATTACAGTCATTTTCAACAGATTTTATATATGCATGTAGTTTTAATTCTACCCATGTTTGGTCGTTATTTAACGATTCCCCCCCCCCCCATGTTTAGCAGTTCTTATTTTTATTTCTAAGCTGCCTTAAGTCTCCTGTCAGGGGAAAATGTGGTAGGTAAATAGATATATCATCATTATCACTTTATTTGTAAAGGTAAAAGGTAAAGGGACCCCTGACCATTAGGTCCAGTCGTGGCCGACTCTGGGGTTGCGGTGCTCATCTCGCTTTATTGGCCAGGAGGGAGCCAGCATGACTAAGCCGCTTCTGGCAAACCAGAGCAGTGCACGGAAACGCCGTTTACCTTGCCGCCGGAGTGGTACCTATTTATCTACTTGCACTTTGATGTGCTTTCAAACTGCTAGGTTTGGCAGGAGCAGGGACCAAGCAACGGGAGCTCACCCCGTCGTGGGGATTCGAACCACCGACCTTCTGATTGACAACCCCTAGGCTCTGTGGTTTAGCCCACAGCGCCACCCGTGTATTTGTACACTGCCTCAAAGAAAGAAATAGGCTCAAAGAAGCTCGCAACAGTGAGAACAATACATAAGCAACCATTATAACTTCAAAACAGCAACCATAACAAAACCTTAACAATAAACCATGGCTGAATTCTGGAAAGCTGGAGGCCTGGTGGGTAGGTAGGTCCTGCCTCCCAGAATCATCCCCACAGCAAACCTGCGAGGCAGTTTATTCTGAGAAGCGGTGACTGGCCTAAAATCACCCAGTAAGCTTCATGGGCTAGTGGGGATTCGAACCCTGGTCTCTCAGGTCATTTTGCATTTTTATGTTGCGAACCACCCTGTGATCTTTGGATTTTTGCTCTATAAGACTCATTTTTCCCCCTCCTGAAATGTAAGGGGAAATCTGTGTGCGTCTTATGGAGCGAATGCAGGCTGCGCAGCTATCCCAGAAGCCAGAACAGCGAGAGGGATTGCTGCTTTCACTGCGCAGTGATCCCTCTTGCTGTTCTGGCTTCTGAGATGCAGAATATTTTTTTTCTTGTTTTCCTCCTCCAAAAACTAGGTGCGTCTTGTGGTCTGGTGTGTCTTATAGAGCGAAAAATATGGTAATTTATATTAAATTACCCAACTTTGAACAAGTTTCTAGGCCTCAGCTTTCCCAAAGACTCCACTGGCATCACCACTCTTCCCCTCCCCCCAATTCCTTTTAAACCCAGAGTGTCAGTTTGCATTTCTTAGTACAGAAAGTAGATCTGATATGTAGAGATCTTTCCTATTCTGCTTAACTCTTCTGCAAGCTTCACTGTGTGAAAGAAGCAAGCAGAATGTTCCTGATGTTTGGGTTATTCCTTCAGAGGAGCTGAGTGCAGCTGGCTTAAACTGCTTCTCTTATCTTTTTCAGTCAAGGTCACGCTGACTATAAAAGCAGGGCCAGAAGGAGTCTTGTTTTCTCTTCGTCTTTCTATCTCTTTCCCTTTTGGTGCGGTGTTCTGTACATCAGGCATGCCCAAAGTCCGTTTCAGGTCGTTTTAATCTGGCTCCTGCGGCAGTTTATTTCCTGAGGTAAAAACCTCAACAACTTCAATCCTAAAAAAAGGTTAACAAGTTCCGTTGGCTCTTTGGCCGGCCCTCATGGCCCTTCACTTCATCAAATCTGGCCCTCTCTGAAAAAAGTTTGGACACCACTGCTGTACATAGTATGCTTAGCATTAAGGTTTAGACTTATTATAAATTACTGTAAGTTTAAGTCAAGTCTGCCGCAACTGGATTTCTTACGGACAGGGCCAATCCTGAATGTATTGGATTTGCGACCATTTTGCTCATTTGCCTTCAGTTAAATAAGTTTGGGTTCTTGTTATTAAATATACCAATATATCTGACAATGGACTAACATGAACTTATCTCTAGTCATAAACTCGTATCTCTAATTCTGTAATGAATTATTGTGTTATACATATCCTTATGAGTTTGTAATCAGAATACATACTTTTGAATGGATTAGTTTTTGTTACAATTGACTATTGATTTGCGAGTAGGGACCACTCCCATGACTGAAATTTATATTGGCCAGAGTTCTGGGTGTGCTTTTTTCTTGGCATTTGCTTTCAGTAGCAGTAAAGCTCTGCTGGATGAAATACAATTGCCTCTGGCCTATTTTTTGGGAATCCTGCAACTTGTTTAAGTTGTTACTCTGCTAACTATACGCTGGAGTTGCGTGGTGAGTTCCCCCCTCCCGCCAGTAGAAATAAAGACACCGGACAACATTATTTAGGTTAATGGGCTAAAATTGGCCACAACTTTATTGGTTACAGGTGATGAGCGGTATTGGCTTAGGCATTGGTCCTAATCAACTATCCGGCTTCAGCCTGTCTGTCTGAGAGGCCGGGAAGGGTTAACACCAGCGGGGGAAACCCTGCTGATGCACATCAACTAGACACTCCCCCGGGGTCACCGATAGGGGCGTGCCTTGGGCCCTGGCCTCCATAGGCTTCGGAAGGGGCCACGCCCCCCGGAGTCCTTTACCGGACCACCCTTCACTATCTGGGGGAGGTGATGACGCTCCTCCCCCCCATTCATCTACATAACAATACCCCGACCAATGCCTAACCACCAAACCGTAGAAGTTGTGACGATTTGCTACGAGGTAGGCGAAAAGATCAAGTGGCTGGTGCCAATTTGCCAAGTGGAAAAATTCCTACCAGGCCCCTTAACGGCGACCAACCGAAGTCCATAGCAAGGTCAAAGGAGGAACCTTGAAGGGTGGGTGGGTGGGAAATTCCCCAGCTGATCGGCGGCAAAAGAGGACGCTCCTGAGAGCCAGTGTGGTGTAGTGGTTAAGAGCGGTAGTCTTGTAATCTGGGGAACCGGGTTCGCGTCTCTGCTCCTCCACATGCAGCTGCTGGGTGACCTTGGGCCAGTCACACTTCTTTGAAGTTTCTCAGCCCCACTCACCTCACAGAGTGTTTGTTGTGGGGGAGGAAAGGAGATTGTTAGCCGCTTTGAGACTCCTGAAGGGGAGTGAAAGGCGGGGTATGAAATCCAAACTCTTCTTCTCTTCTTCTTCTTCCTCTGCCGCGCTTGCCCTTAAATGGGGCGAGCCACACCCCCTGAGCCAGCCGATTGGCTGGCCAGGGAATGACGCGTCAGAGGATTCCCCTGGTCGCGCAGGGCTGGGAGTCAGCCACCGCGCGAGTGTTGGGGGTGGGAAGCCCGCAACACCTCCTCCTTCTTAGGTCAGAAGTAGCTTTCTGCTCCTCCCTTTCCATGGAGGCGCAGATTGCAGCTATAACAAAGGTGGCATTTTTTCATCTCCTCCAAGCTAAGCAGTTGGCTCCTTATCTCTCTCGCCCTGACCTAGCCACTGTGATCCACGCGACGGTCACCTCCAGACTGGATTATTGCAACTCGCTCTTCGTGGGGCTGCCCTTGAGACTGACCCAGAAACTCCAGTGGGTGCAGAATGCCGCAGCGAGGCTCCTTACGGGGTCCTCACCGGGGGATCACATTCACCCGGTGCTTTACCAGCTGCACTGGCTCCTGGTGGAGTACAGGATCAGGTTTAAGGTGCTGGTTTTAATCTTTAAAGCCCTATACAGCCTAGGACCCTCGTACCTACAGGACTGCCTCTCCTGGTATGTCCCACAGAGAAACTTATGGTCTTCAAATAAAAACATCTTGAAGGTCCCAGGCCACAGAGAGGTTAGGCTGGCCTCAACTAGAGCCAGGGCTTTTTTGGCTGTGGCTCCAGTCTGGTGGAACGCTCTGTCACAAGAGACTAGGGCCCTGCGGGACTTGACATCTTTCCACAGGGCCTGCAAGACAGAGCTGTTCCACCAGGACTTTGGCCAGGGCACAGTCTGACCCCCTCCTTCGGCAATCTTCGTGGAGCTCTGGCCCAATGGTTGCCATTGGTTTGATTTGAATTAATTTTATAATGAATGATTTTAGAGTGTTGTGTTGTGTTGTACTGTTTTACTGTTGTTAGCCGCCCTGAGCCCGGCTTCGGCTGGGGAGGGCGGGATATAAATAAATTTATTATTATTATTATCAATATGGAGTAGGATTTCAATGACACAACGTCTCCCGCCATCTCTCTTCTCCCTTCTCCTCAGGCGAAAAGCCATATATCTGCGAGATCTGTGGGAAGAGCTTCACCAGCCGGCCCAACATGAAGCGCCACCGCCGGACGCACACGGGCGAGAAGCCCTACCCTTGCGACGTCTGCGGGCAGCGCTTCCGCTTCTCCAACATGCTGAAGGCCCACAAGGAGAAGTGTTTCCGGGTGAGCAACCCCGTAGCCTCGGACCCCAACGGCAACAACGCCATCGGCCTCACCGCTCCCCAGGCCGCCGGCTCGCCTCAACTGACCACGGGCGTCCCGCTGCATGGCACGCCGCATTCCCATGCGCTCTCCTTGCCCCTCATGCATGTGCACGCACAGAGCATCCCTCCTCCGCCGCTCTTGCCGCCGCCGCCGCCTCTCTTCCCAGGCAGCAGAGTGAACTTGAACAACTAGGCCCTCGCCCAGCTGTTGAGCGTGCGGGCGCAGAACCGGCCTGTAATCCAGTAAGTGCCCAGCAGGTGTCAGTCACGAATGTCGTGGGCAGCCGTTGGTTTGGGTTTTTCTTCTTCGACAGGGCCTGGTCTTTTGCCTCCAGCTTGAAGAGGTTGAGGTTCTCAACTCAAGCCATCTTTGCTGCTTGAGTTGCGTAGAATTTGAAGGTCACGTTATGTTTTCTTCACGCGTGGAAGGCTGTAGACCAAATGCCGCTGCCGTCCATTTTTTGGGGCTCTGAAGATCTTGGGGTGTGCTAAAGGCTGTTCGACAGACCTTGTCGGTTTTGATGGCTCAAAAGAGAGCATTCTCTTCTCTAGCTTATCCTGCCACGTCTGGTGGAGAGGAGAGGTTGAGTCCTTCTAGATCATCCTATCTAGTCCTGTTCTCACAGTGGCCAACCAGATTCCCTAAGGTGAAGCCCCTGAGTAGCACTCTCTCCCCATTAACACCGGTCCTGAGAGATCTGCATTGGCTCCCAGTATGTTTCCAAGCACAATTCAGAGTGTTGGTGCTGATCTTTAAAGCCCTAAACGGCCTCGGTCCTGTATACCTGAAAGAGCGTCTCCACCCCCATCGTTCAGCCCGGACACTGAGGTCCAGCGCCGAGGGCCTTCTGGTGGTTCCCTCATTGCAAGAAGTGAGGTTACAGGGAAACAGGCAGAGGGCCTTCTCGGTAGTGGCACTTGCCCTGTGGAACACCCTCCCTTCAGATGTGAAGGAAATAAGTAGCTATCTTATCTTTAAAAGACATCTGAAGGCAGCCCTGTTTAGGGAAGTTTTTAATATTTAAAGATGTATTGTTTTTAACACTCGATTGGGAGCCGCCCAGAGTGGCTGGGGAAACTCAGCCAGATGGGCGGGGTATAAATAATAAATTATTATGATTATACTTGCCATTCCCAACAACCACTTTGCAGAGGCATATGGCATCCCTTCCTGGAAGTGTTTGCGTTTCCCTTGAACCCAGAAGTCTTTCACCTTGGGAGGTGAAAAAGAAAGAGATGGGAGTTGTAGTTCGACAACATCTGAGGACCTACAGGTTGAGAAAGGCTGCTCTAAAGGAATGGGGAAAGGGAAACCTCCTTTCGCAGTTGAGCTGCAGGGAAATAGCAAGTCCAGGGTGTGGTTGATGCCATGATTTGTGGAAGTGGCTAGATGTTGTGTCTCCCAGAGGCCAGCTTTCCATTCCTTAAGAGCCCAGCAAGCTGCCTTCATACCACAACAAGACCTGTGTCCATCTAGTTCAATATTGTCTACACTGAATGGTAGCAGTTCCCTAGAATTTCAGGAGGGGGGTTTCTCCCAGCCCTACCTGAAGATTACTTGGGGGATTGACCTGGGACTTTCTGGTTGCAAAGTAAATGCTCTAACCGCTGAGCCTACAGCCCTTCCTCCCCTTCCTCCATCTTTCGGTATCAGCACGACTTGTGACTTCTCATTCTCTGTTGCTCAAGGGACCCGTTCCTCCCTGCACAATGGGAGGACGAGGCTGAACCTCGTTGGTGGTCCATGAAATCGCACCAGAGGAGAAGAGTCCTCCTCTTGATTTCCCTCTTGAAGTACAGATCCCCTCTCACCCTTGCCAGTTTGCATGGCTTTAAGACAAGCAGGCTCTTTGGAAGAGTCTTTGTGTACCCGAGAAATGGAAATAAGGCCACAGGCACTTGATCTACAGCCTTCTGTTAATTCCAGTAATTTGTCAGTGGGCTAATGCACTAAGCAAACTCCGTTAGGGTCGTACCTGCCTATTTTCTCCTCTGCCAAATGCTTCTGAGATGGCCTGGGCCTCTTTTTTTTGTAACATAAAGAATTTATTATTTTAACCTTTTTGCACTTTATTAATCCATCATAGTAACTCTTCCTCGTTTGGGTGCTGGCAAGGTATTCCGGACTCTGTTGCGGGCTAATGAAATCAGCAGGCCAGTTCGCTCACGTGCCACCGCCAAGCCGGTTCTGTTCATTTCAAAGACAAGACGCCTCAGTCAAGCCCCACAGAAAAGAGGCAGAACTTGAGCAGCCGCAGCGCATAGGTGGATTTGCCCCATCGGCATGCAAAAAAACAACAACACAACCCCACATGCGCACGGACAGGTCCGTGTGCAATGGGCGACTTACGAGTCTCGTTGGGTATTCAATTCGGCAATTTCTCCTCCTTTGCCTGAAACTTCACGGCTCCTCTTCAGCTAAAACGCCCAGACCACTTTGCCTCTCTACGTATTTGGGTTTTTTTCTGTGTGTGTGTCTTTAGTGTGAACTGAAGCAGGGCTGGTCCCTGGAACAACAGCCATAACAAACGGACAGGAAAAGATGCGGCGAGAAAGTTGTGGCTTGGGAGGGTAGGGGAAAAGGTCGAGACGGTGCAATAATTGCTAGGTGTGTCGGGACAGAACGCCGCGGCGCCGAACCCTTTGGGAAGAAGGCGTCGTGGGCCTCTCCGTAAGAGAGGCTTCCCGGTTTGACTGTCCGTGGCAACCTCTTCCAGAGACTTTACAGAGTGATGGCTAGCGTCGGGGAGACGGGGTGTCTTACCTGCACCCCTCAAAATAACCCCAACAACCTCGTATTCCTTTGGAGAAAAAGAAAAAGGCAACGTACCATGACTCCACATGCCTCAAAGGTAATATTCTGAACGCGTTGCTTTCTACAGCGTTTGAAACCCGTTGCCCAAATATGCCAAGATCGAAGCAAAACTAAAAAAGACGCGTGTATCGTGGACTCTCTCTTTTAGCGTTACAAACAAAAATATTTACAATGAAGCACTTTATTCTATATAGATCTGGGGGTGGGGTGGGGTTGGGGGTGGGGAGGAGGAGGATCTGAGTTCTGAGAACATTGGTTTTAAAAAAGAAAGAAGCGGCGTCAGAAACATTCGGCAAAATATATTGCAAACTTTTCGTTTTAACAGTCGTGTGAATAACCTGCTTATGCTTTTACTTTCTAACTTGCAAGGGAAGCAGCACTCTGTGGTCAGTGATCGCAGCCACTTGCGTTTCTTCTGTTTCTCCTCAAATTGAAGGGCGCTGGGAGGGGGGACGGACGACAGAGCAGTTTTGGCACCGTTGGCCAGTGGCGTTTAGTTCCCGTTGGTTCTGGCAGGGCAGAAGGTGGGGAGCCCACCAGTAGGTGGCGCCAGAGCCAGCAGCAGGCAGAACAAATTCTCACTAGGCTGCCATCTTTTCCCACCCTGCTGGTTTGTATGAGGGCAAAACTGAGCCTAAAAAGGAGGAGGCAGGGCCAGTCTCCCCCCACACACCTCTTTTGGCCACGTAATGCTAGTCTGTGGATGTAGGGAAGGTGCTATTGGCTGCGAAGGATCTGTGTGTGTTAGGGGCAAGCTTAATCTTTCCCCGGGGGCAGGGGGAATAGGTAGGGGGAGCGCCTCCAATTTTCTCCCCTTAAAATCAAACCACCTGCATGTGCAGCACCGTCAACCCACAAGGGTGTTCACTGAGATAACATGGGAGTATTGTTCCAGAAGCTTCCAGAGAGTTGTGTTGAATTTGCGGCTGTAACCCACAGAGAGGAGGACCTCTGGAAGTGCCAGGGACCATTCCTGGTATGCCAGGCTGCTTCCCACCCCACCCCACCCCAAATTATCCAGAAGCGAGTCCTTCTCCAAATAAACCAGGAGACCCCCACCCACCCAAAGTTTCAGGTCTCACCGTTGCCATAAAAATGACTCCCGTTGCCCGTATGTAAGCCATTCCTTCTCGGCTTCAGCCCTCTCATTCCCTTCCTTCTCAATAATCATACTGACCTTGCAGGGTTGTTGAAAGGTTTGCAAGCTAGGGGGAGCCGAGCGTTTCAGAGCTGACGTCCCACATCACTGGGAAGACACTTTCAACCTTTCCTTGGTTGGTTGGTTGGTTGGGTGGGTGGGTTTGTTTCCATCAATATAGTTCACCCCACATTTATCACTTGTGGGGAGCTTCCAGCCTGCAGGCCAGTCTCGGCCAGCCAGGGTTTCAGTTTGGTCCGTGAGGTCGTCCGCATGAAACCATATCAACTTGGCCATCAGATGACGTTACCTCAGTGGGCAGTTGACGTCAGATGGCGGGTAGTTTTGGTGGGTGCTGTCAGCCCCTGCAGAGGACAGGCTTCAGCTGATTCATAAGCAGAGGTTCAATCCTAGGTTTGGCTGCCCCCCAGGGAACTGCCCTCTGCAATTGCTCCCTGCAGAATATCCCATCAGTGGCTGAGCAGCGAGTTCATTCCTGCTTGGGTGCTATCTCCCCACATGCCTGTGGACCATTGGGCAGGTCTGTGGGACCACCCAGCAGCCAATCACTGCAACATCAGCCGACCCAAATGCAGGTGTTCCCACCCACCTGTTGAAAGTTTGGGGAAATAAAGAGCTGGCCTGTTCTATATAAGGCAAACATATTGATGGGAAAAAGTAGCATATCTCCATGGTCCAACGCCTGGACGTCTTAAGCTGTGGTTCTGCTGGACTATCCATGAGATCCTTAGCTTTTCCAAAGCGCTGCTCCAAAAACAAGCCAGGCACATGGAGACCTGCCTTGTTGCAGCTCGGGTACCCACCCAGAGCCCAGAATTGCTTAGGCCAGGGGTGAGATGCCTGTTTCCTTCCTCCAGCTGCAGTAGGACTGCAACTCCCATCATCCCTTGCCATGGGCCATGCTGGCTGGGGATGATGGGAGCTGGAATCCAACCAGAACCTGGAAGGGCTGACGATTCCTCAACCCTACTCTGCCCTGACTGGGAGCAGCTTTTGCAGGGTCTCAGGTAGGTCTCCTGCTAACCAGTGGTCCTTGAAACTTGGCGTGCCTTTGGGGGTTGAACCCAGGATCTTCCGAAGCCCAAGCAGATGTTCTGTCACTGAGTTATGGCCCCTCCCCAAAGTCTCCACATCCCCTGTGTGGATATTCTTGCAAGAGTACAGGTAGCATCTGCTGGAAGTCTCCAAAACCAGGGATGTGACTGAATAGGACCTTTTTGGTGGCAAGGCAGGATCCCTACTGAGTGTGCCTGTGTGATGCTTGCATTTCAGAGAATCATAGAATTGTAGAGTGGGAAGGGACCCCAAGGGTCATCCAGTCCAACCCCTTGCAATGCAGAAATCTCAACATGCAGTCCCCCATTCCCCTTCCCCATTCCAGTTCAGGTGCCTGCCTAACTGTTGTGTGAATCTGTCTTGATCCTGGAAAGGGGAAGGAGAGTTTCTGCACCCTTTCTAGGCTCCTGTGAATGAATGGACGATTGTGTACAGGATGCTGGTATGCCCTTTTCTCCTCCTGATTTAGGGAGGCTGGACACTTGGACAATGCTGCATGCAACACTCTTTTTATCCCTGGCATACCAAAAGGACGTGTGTTATCACAAAGAACGTCGGAAGAACAGTTCAGGGAATCGGGCACGTTTAGCCTGGAAAAGAGGAGATAAAGGTAAAGGGACCCCTGACCATTAGGTCCAGTCGTGGCCGACTCTGGGGTTGCGGCGCTCATCTCGCTTTATTGGCCGAGGGAGCCGGCGTACAGCTTCCGGGTCATGTGGCCAGCATGACTAAGCCACTTCTGG